CTCCTGCACTGGCCACACAACACCCCCACGCGACTCCACACAGCTCTTTGATCCATGAGGAAGCGATGTGGCCCAATTGTGTGGCACGGGTCCACCGGGTCCACGCGGGTCTTAGAAGAAGCGAGAGAGAGGGTCAGGAGTCTAGAGACTTTTCTTCAGTGTTGGACGTGCGTGGTGATTGTTTTATTGCGTCGTGTGTCACGGCGTGGGTCCACGCGGGTCCTGCGCAGGTCCCTTGCAGGTTCAGGAGACAGTATTGTTTGCGCGGCGGCGAGGCCATCCCTGGGCTCGCGGGTCCATTTTACGCTGCGCGGGTCCCACGCACACTGTTTGGGCTCCGAGTCCATGAGGAAGCGATGTGGTCCAATTGTGTGGCGCGGGTCCACGCGGGTCCTAGAAGAAGCGAGAGAGAGGGTCTAGAGTCTAGAGGGAAGTCCAGTGTTGGATGTGCGTGGTGATTCGCGCAATAGGCTATGTGACACACGACGCAATAAAACAATCACCACGCGCGTCCAACACTGGACTTTTCTCTAGACTCCTGACCCTCTCTCTCGCTTCTTCTAGGACCCGCGTGGACCCGGTGGACCCGTGCCACACAATTGGGCCACATCGCTTCCTCATGGATCAAAGAGCTGTGTGGAGCCGCGTGGCCCCGCGCCACGCAAACAACATTACCTCTTTGACCTGCAAGGGACCCGCGCAGGATGCGTGCAGGACTCGCGTGAACCCACGCCAATATACAAATGACACGCAGGGGGCCGCGTGGACCTGTAAATAGACCAACACTCAAAAAATCAAAAAACAACTACCACACGCCTCCAACACTGACTTCCCTCTGGGCCCTCTCTCCCTCACTTTCAATAAAGTGAATTCATTGCAAAATGGACCCGCGAGGGACCCGCCTTCTAGTGGACATGGGGGTCCCTCTTGTATGGTCCCTAATACGGAACACATGTCCATGAATCATATGGGGAAAAGTTGAGTGTAGCTTATATGAGACCCCGCAAAATGAAAAGCCCCTCATCAGGGGCTTCAAGTCCCGACCACTGGGCCCCCACCCTAGACCGCAACCACGCGGCAGTTTAGGGTTTAGGGTCTGGGACAGTAAGCACACTCAAAAACCTCAGGTGGCTCCAGCGTCCAACAATCTTGGAAGGCCCAATGTGCAGGTAGTGCCGTCGAATCCTACAGAGTCCTAATCATTGCCCCATGCCACGTAGGTCTGAGCCCCAAATAAAAACAGTAAATAAGTAAAAACAAAAAAATACATATATATGTATATATACATACATAGAGAGAGAGAGAGAGATGCCCGTATGTCCGATAATATAACCCGTTGAAAGGGTTAAAATCCAAGAGCCCTAAACAGCCGAGGCCTTCAGCTTCCGCCCTCCCTGCACTCCGCTGGATGTCGCTTTGCTGCCTTTGGCAGGGTGTAGGGCTTAGGGTTATATGTTTTCTTCAGATTTTGCTGCTAATCACTATAATGCCACCACCGTCCTCACCACCACCACCACCTCCGCCGTCGCCGCCGGCGACCGCCACCAACCCGACCGCCTAATTTAAAGTCAGCTAAGGTTGCCTCGCCTTATCAGAGCACCTGGAGCTGCACCGACAACCTCACCGATGCTGCGCCAGTGCACTGGACAGGACACTAGGGCTAAACAACCACGGCAGAATATGTTTTTTTTGGCGCGAATAGTGAATGGAGTTTATAGGGTTCATAGGTTCGAACTTGTAGGGTTGTGGGATTTGGTTGTTGAGGGCTGTGGGTTAAGGATGCATAGGGCTTAGGTTTCAGGGTTCGGCCCTTGAACCTTAAACCTTAAACCGCTTGCAAATTAGGGTCGGGCCTAGGTTTTAGGGCTGTGCGTTGAGGCGTGTTGCTTACGGGCATCGTGCTTGCAACTTTTTAGTACATGGAGCGGCAGTCTGACAGTCGGCCCCAAAGATTGCTAAAAACCCGCACGGTTACTGCAAATAATTGCTCCGTTGATTTCCGCCAGATTGTTTTTGAAGTGGATCCTAGAATTGGCTGATGGAACTGCTCATCTTCGATCTGTTGATAGTGGGACTAAACCTGTGCTTCGACGTGGGATGTATCAGGACATTTGATGATATTTGCAGAGCTTGCGGCCAAGCGTCACTTAACCGCCATAGTGGCTCCTTGAAGAATTCCTTTTCAATCGCCTCAGCCCATGAAAAGCGTATATAGTCCCCCTTTAGTAGATAGAATATGGCTCCGGGTAATTTATAATAAGACCCCCGCATATCCCATATTCTATCGATTTAAGGAGGACTATATACTATACATGATGTATATGGTCATGTCCTTCAGCTTTGTAAAGCGGATGCCGTTACATGAAACCCGAAATCGACAAGCATAGTCATTCCCTCAACCCTAAACCCCAAACCCGAGCTTGGCCCTGCCAACCCCAAGTAACCTTATCCTTCTTCTTCAGAAAATCCAAGCTCCAGCTCATTGGGGTAATATTGGGAGAATATAGGGTCATAAAGGGCTATATAGGGATAATGGAAAAGAAAATGGAAGCGCCCAATCTACGATAATAAAAGGGCAATTTAGGATGTATGGTCAGCCCATGGTAATGCTTCTCAAAGCTGAACTATGCAAATCAGAGTGGCAAACGAAGGTTTATGTAAGACACAGGGTTTGGGGTTGAGGGCGAATCTGCGTACTGGCTTCTGTGGAATGATGCGCCTTCGGACATTTACAAAACATCCAAATCTGTTTCTAAATGCCATATCTGTGTACACGCCTATGTACCCCTCCTACACACCCCTTCATACCCCTCTATGCGCCTATATGCCCCTGTATCTCCTAATTATATGTCCCCCTACCCCCAATTGATGCTTGATCAGAATTCCTGTTCCCAAATTATAGACCATTTTCGAATGTAAGTTCCCACATATTTGTCCTCATAGACTTACAAAACCCTTTTCCAAAAACAGCCTTAAACCATATAGTCCCCCTTAAGTAGGTAGAACATGGCTTTGTGTATATTACAACAATATACCCCATATTCTATCTACTTAAAAGGGACTATAAACCTAAGCCCTTCACCCTAAATCCTAAAACCCCCCCCAAGTGCCGCAGGCGACGAGCTCGACTGGGTAGGTTTGGTGCGCGTGGGTGATGCCGTATACCGCTGGCTGGGCGCACCGGTGCTGGACCACTTCCCTAAGGGTTCTTGGGCTTAGGGTTTTAGGGGTTAGGGTATCAGGGTTTAGGGTTTTGGGGGCTAGGGTTTAGGGTTCCAACTACCCAATATTTGAGTTCTTGGGATTTGGGTAATAGTGATTTGTTGTACTTGTTTTGGGTTTCTGGGTAAGCATATGAATATAGGGTACTTACTTGGACCCTTAGGTGTTGCTTTCTGAAGGTCCTAGGTCTGTAGAACTTCTAGGATTTATGGAGAAGTAATTAATGGTTCCTTTGAAGGGCTTAATGTGGAGTAATAGGGTTGACAGTTGGCTGTATGGCCAGTTTCCCCTTAACCCTAAAACGCGTCAGGGTGTCAGGTGTTTAGCTTTTGGGGGTTGTCCTTACATAGGGGCCGCGCACATCTCGCGGAGCTCTCAAGTCCGAATTCTATCAATTACCAATACGGAGGTCGTCCAAAATTAGGGGTACCTTTAAAGGGGGATATACGAGTTCTATTGGAATTATATATGGTTTAGTGTTTAGAGTTTCCCAAAATTAGGGGTACCCTTTGGAAGAAGGATTATAGTATATTGAGGTCTATATTAGGGGTCCCCTTCTCAATGGGAACTACCATAAATGCTCCCATTCAGGGACTCCCATATCCCAAAACTTTTTGAACTCGATGTTATTTGAAAGCGCCAACATGCGGATTCCTCCAATAAGCCGTACATAACGCTCAATGCGCCCATCGAGTTTGCGGGATGCCCCTGTTTGGACAAGCGGTTTAGGGTTTAGGATTTCCCAAATCTTATAGAGGTAGCCCGATCTTGCAGAAGCTTCCTTTCCAGTATTCCGCAAGGTCTTGGGGGAGCAGTCCTGCATATGCAGGGTCTCCCCATTTGAGGTGGCTCCACCTTCTTTTCAAATTGAGTCTTAGACAGGCTTCCGTCGGTTTAGGGTTGAGGGTCAAGTTTATAGAGCATCTGAGAATGAAACGACAAACAGCGGTGTGTGTTTTCTGACACATTTTCTCGCGCGGCACAGGACCATTCGGAGTAGATGGTTGTTCTCAACCCAAAACCCTAAACCGACTGTCTTCTAGAAAAGCTTTTGCTCTGCCTATCAGAACAATCCTTAAGATTGCCGTAAGATGCTGCGGAAACCGCCCTGAACCCCAATCCCCGAACCCTGGCCCTGATCCCGAGACCCTAACCATAAGGGCCCAAGCACCCAAGATTTGAGAAATAGTGATTCTAGTATGGGTGTCAGGAAGATTGAGTACTTGGACCCTTATATAGAGTAAGCCGCAAACCCAACCCCAGGTACTGCCATGTTAAATTCCTGTTTGGCAGGAGATTGCAGCTGCTCGCCAGATAAGTGTGGAGGTCTTGCCTACGCTGAGCCGCTATGTGTTTCAGGCCGGCAAGTTAGCAGAAAAAACCCTATATTCCCATGACCTATCGCCTAAACTCCTCAAAGGGAGTAATATAGGGGACTACTGTAGGGGGTTATGAAGCGGGGATGCTAGGAGTTTAGAGTATTTTCTTATATGATGCTGAAGCGGGGCCCTTAAGAATCTTTCTGTAATCCCTTTTCTAAAAGGACCCTCCATTCTGGGACTCCCCAAGATGTCCTACCCCCACGAACGGGAGCCCTAAACCCTAAATCCTATACCCCTAAACCCTAAACCCCTAAACCCGAAACCCTAAACCCAAAGGGGAACCCTAAGTTTGGGAGACTCCTTTGGGCTGCAGCAGGCAGGATCGGCGACACTGACAGTGGAGTTTCTGACGCCGGCCATTGATCACGACAAGGACGCATGCTGCGCGCAAGATTTGTGAAATCTCTCGTCGTGGGAGGAGCGCGATAGCTAGACTGCATAGTTGGGAGCCTGTTGGGGAAGTGGACTCAGACTCAAGGGCTCTAAGTTCAGGTGTGGATCAGACATTACATTGGGATGATGATGGATCTTCGCTATCAAGAGCGCCGCTCAATCAAAAACGTTTCCGATCCGAAGGCCATGGGGTCCATGTGGCCACATGGTATAGAAAAGTGATCCAAAGTAATGATATGGGAACCCCTTTGCGCCCAGGTATCTACAATATGCCTACATCCACCTCGTGAGAAATGCGTGATCATGCTAGTAAGAGCTGGGGCCTATTCAGCTTGTGCAAGAGGACTGGCTAAGGCAACTTTGTTAAAGCACCTTTACCCCAAGCGTAGGTTGGACAATTGTCTTTCTGGCTCCATCTTTGGGTTTTGAGCAACTTCTGCTGAGGGACAGACCGGCAGGTAGGTAGTAAAGGATCCTAAAAAAAGAAGCCCCCGAAAAATGACCCCCATGACTACACTGGGGAAACTAGGGGATTATTGGGAGGTGCCATGCTTTGGATCCTTTAGGGGGTTAATGTCTCCAGGAGGGTACCTGAACCCTACCAAGACTTGGGAGTCCGCGTTTAGGGTCTATTGGGTTTGGGGATGTTTGGGGCCTAGGCTTTGCTCCCAGAAACCAATAGGCATATAGGTCAACTATATCTTTATTTTGGGCCATAGGTAACCCCAAACATAGAGAATCCCATAATATACTGACCCACCCCGAAGCGAGGACCCCCATTTTGAGAAATCTTCGACATTGCCAAAACCCCGAAGCCCTCAAGGAACCCCCTGGAAAGCCTGCATAAACAGGGAGACCCCAACACAGACCCCATGAAAAAGGGATCCAACATTTCCTGAAACTCCCATCTAGGGTGGGGGTCCTAAGACCCTCAGCCCTAAACCCTTTAGAAGGACTACTAACCCTAAACCCACTAAAGCCCTAAAGCCACTAAAACCTGCTAAAACCCTAAACCCTCTAACACCCTAAACCCTAAACCCGCTAAAGACCTAACCCCTGAACCCTTTGCAAGGACTACGTGTGGGCCACCTGCCCTGTCACAACCGTCAGCTTTAAGCTTGAAGGAAGCCCCTCCGCGGAGGTCTACTTCGAGCCTTGGCAAGTGAGATGTTTAGGGTTCAGGATTTAGGGCCAAATTTTGGGTTTAGGGTTTGGGGTTTAGGGTTTAGGGCTTGGGGTTTAGGAGGTTGTTGAATGCTAGAGTCCCCAAACATATATTGAGTAAAATCGCATCTTGCTTTTCGGGATGTTCTTTGGTTCGAGCACCGAAGAAGCAATATCCGGTAGTGGAAGTTGTAAACTCTCGGTCTTCTTACGGTATCTGAGCGCACGAACCGAGTTTGGACAAAGACCCCATACCTAAAGAGCTCAATATGTTCAATGCAGCAATATTCCATTCAACATGTTAGGCATCATCATTGCAGAGTGCCTGGTATATTCCTTGATAAAGCTTTTTGATGCTCCAGCAAAACCCTAACCCTAAAACCTGAATCCTAGCCAATTGGCATCGTCTTGGCAGTCTTCCGCCCACCACGGCTTAATGAAGCGCATTAGGGGCGGGGATTCAGAAAACTCAGAAGACTAGTCTTCCCTTTAATGATGATTGTTATACTTCGGGGTATATCATGGGGTAGATTGTTGTTTTCGGAAAGCTACATAAGGCTAGATCGCCCTACCTGGCTATATACATGATAGTTTCCCAAAACAGGGGGACTCCAAATGACATTATTACTTTCATTCCTCTCATTATTACGTACTTGGCAGGAAACTTGGGCATCATTCGGATTAGGGTTTAGGGATCAGGCTTGCGGGTTTAGGGTTTAGGGCTTAGGGGGGTCAATCGGGTTCCTGTTAAGGATTCAAGTGGGGGTCTGTTTTGAGAGACCCGCGCGACTGATTGCAAGAGTACATCAGACTTATGGTTGTCTCGACCTGCAAGCTATGCTCTTTAGCAATTCAGCTAGCTAGTAGCTAACACGCTGCTTGCACTACGTTTTGTACAACTTTATCACACGCTCTGCACTGCAAAAAGAGATGCTGTGAATTTATGCCTTCTGGAGATCCCATGCAACTGAACAGCGACTGAAACTGCCAAGTTGTGCGATTTCTTCATGCAATCCTGCAAATGTGCAGGCTGACACTTGGCAACTGCTGTCAGGATAAACTTCCAACAATCCCAATCAGGACATGTCGGCTGCGACTGCGACGCAGAAGGATGATGAGGAGGCGAGTAATATAAGGGCCTCAACAAGTACTACCTACTCCGGTAGTCAGTACCTTTTTCCCCTCGTTATTTTGGTTTCTCCTTGTTATTTTGGTTTCTCCTTATTACAACTGAGCATTAGAAAAAGGGTACCCTTATGATGATTATGGTGGGCTTATTGGGCAACCTAGATCAGGGCTTCAACAATTACCAACAGTGTGGTCTTAGATTCCTTGCATAACTATGGAATGCATGTTGTCTTTTGTCTTCTGCTTGCACACCGTCAACCCTAGACTCTGAAGACCCTGCGTCCACGTACGAGACAGTCTCGTACCCAAACTACTGTTACCCAAATCCTGAGTACCTGATTTTGTGTCCAGAGGGTTTTATTTGTGTCTGAGAACGAAACCCCGTGCTGAGCCGAGCAGACGTAAAAGGTCCGAGGGGAAAGAACAACAGCATTGTCTACTTGGATCCACTGAGCTCTGTTGTTGTGTGATTGCTACGTTACATGGCTCTTACTATTACCATTCTTATCCTTGTTCTTATACTTAGTCCTAGTAGCAACATAGTGCAACCACGGGTTCCAGGGCTTTCTCTTACAAGCCCTAAACCCTGCCCATTGGCGTTTCTGAAGTAGAAGGTAGGGTTTTAGTAGGCAAGATCTTACCGCGACAGCTCCAAGGACTTCACAATCTTGAGGGTGTAGGGATACGGAGGCACCTTGGACCCTAAATCACGACAACTCAACTTCATAGGCATAGCACATGTTGATTCTTCATGTTTGCACTGTTGTAGTGCCGGTGCCCGTACTAGCTCCCCTTTTTGGTGCAACAATTTAGGCAGGGACTCATTACTTACAGGCTTAGACTTCTATGTATATATATATACACACACATAAATTCGAAGGTCATCTACATCCATTTGTGGCCGCTCAACCTTACTGGGGGAACCCCAGGCCTTCACTGCGGATGTCTTCTGAAGCCCTAAGGCATAAACCATGAACTCACAGGTCACCTGGTCGCGGGACGCGGGCCCTGGGATAGAGGTCATCCGCGCGGGAACCACCGCACAGAAGGCTCCTTGCTTGTAGATCTTAGTAGTGTTATTGTAATCACTATTGTTCTTATTTCTATTACTATTAGTATTATTGCCTAATTGGCTGCACCTGTAATCTCAATTACCTACAGCTGTATAGATGAGAACTGAAGAGTTCGGAGTGTTGGGTGAAGAGTTCGGAGTGTTGGGTTTAGGGTTCTAGAGTAGCAGCCTTCATGTGCCTAGACTCTCCCATCTTCCCTTTTTGGCCTAAGTGCCGAGTACTTTTGCGCTTCTTATCCCTGGTCCTGATCTAATCTTACTTGCTTGAACCGCCAAAAACACTGCTCACATGACCTGGGATTTTGATTCTTACGGTTCTGCGCATGTCTACAGGTTTCCTTAGGTACTTTCTGGAGTACATGCGGAGGGTTTCCCAAACTTAGGTGTACCTTTTGGGTGCATCGATAGTATAGGGATTGTAGCGTTTTAGGGTCTATATTGGGGTCTTCCCCTTGTAGGGAAACTGCCATGTATGCAGGTGTCCATAGAGGGAGACGAATAAAGAATTTGCCGTGTAGGCTCCTTATTAAATGCAGTCCGCGGGGCTTGAGATTTCTGAGATAGGGGGCTCAGGAGGGCACAGGGTTGGGTGTAGGGCTTCCAAATCCCTAAAACCTAAACGGCTACCCGATGGGTCTATGGGTATAGAGGTTTAGGGTTAAGGGTATAGATTGGGTACTGCTCCCCCGCAGTAACAGTTGGATAATCATTATAATACGGTTATATATAGCCCTTTATAGGACCCCTAATATAGACTGTTACTGGGTGGGGACAGTACCCAAGCTAAACCCTAAACCCTACCTAGTAGTTTCCATTTGCTTTTCCATTCTCCCAATATGACCCCAATATTATACCCTATATAACCCTTATATAACCCCATCATAAACCCCTAAACCCTAAACCCTAAACCCCTATTTACCTAGACCTCGGAATGGTTTAGGGTAACCCTAAACCCTAAAACCCTAAAACCCTAAACCCACCTAGACCTTGGGGTGGTTTAGGGTTTGGGGTATTGTTTAGGAGGACCCCCCACCCTGTAATAGTGGTATAATAGTAATATAAGAGGACCCTAATATAATCCCTATTATCCTAGTCACTATTACTGGGTGGGGGGTCCACCCAAGGTATTGTCCTCGACAACCCACCGGGAAATGCTGCTAAGGTTGGCGGCCAGACGTCAGACCGCTCAGCGGGAGCCTCAGGGTGGGGTAGTGGAGCCACGCGGTTTAGGGTTCAGGGTCTAGGGGTTTAGGGTTTAGGGCTTAGGGTTCAGGGTTTAGGATTTAGGGTTTAGGGTTTAGGGTCTAGGGTTTTACATGCATTCCTCCATACTGATGCAATATTAAACACCCCCCGAACCACCCCCCCAATCTGCAAGGCCTCTTATGGGGAATAGTTGATATGAGGGGTGTGGGAGGCTTCTTGATATTAATTAGTATGAAATCATTATGCAGGTGGTGGCCTCTTCTCGGGGGGTTTCTGCTTTGTCGGTGGGATATATAATATAGCCATCCTCATGATGGGATTTGGTGATAGTAGAGATTATCTAGGTAGGATATATACACCCAAGCCCCCATTTATGGGATCCAAGGATAGAAGAGGTTGTATAGGCAACAGATAGAGAGACCACTAGTCTGCTTGTTTTTTCATATAAGGGCTTAGCCCTAAAACTTAAATCCTAAACCCTAAATCCTAAACCCTAAACCCTACATCCTAAACCCTGAACCCTAAACCTATTTTTGATATGTAGGCTCAGGGCTGGGGGCCAGACTTTCAAGGTTCAGGCTCTAGAGTTTGTTTCTTAGGCTTTACCCTATAAGGGTCCAAGTAGCTAATACTCAGATACTTACTGGGGCGGGGGGGGGAGGGGGGGGTAGGGAGGGGTTTAGGGGTTTTAGGGTTCAGGGTTTAGGGTACCCAAAGCCCGTACTATAATTCCTATTATCCTAGCACCAAATACCTGAATATTGGGTACTTGGACGCTCTGGGTCAAGCTTCAGGGTTTGGTGTTTGGGGTCTGCAGGAAAATCGAAAATCTTGAGAAACCCTAAACCCTAAACCCTAACTTTCTGCGGCAAGCTTCAGAGTGGAGAACTCTGAGCCTGATCCCTTCCCCTTGAGACTCATTTGGGAGTTCCCAAAATTAGGGGTACCTTATTAGGGGGTCCCCATAATAAGGATTATAGTATGTGGCGTCTATATTAGGGTCCCCGTATTTTGGGAAACCACCATTTTTATTTTGATTCTAGAAGGTCCTCGAAGAACTGTTAAACGTACTACTTTTCTGGTTTATACATCGGTCTAAGGGGTTTACAGATGAAGGGATCACGTCATAGCGCAAGGGACGTCTAGCGGAAAATCCGCAACGTGTTTCAGTTCAGCGTTGCAGCTACAGGCTGAAGCTGCATATTGTAGAAACCTAGATGATTATCAGCATTTTTCATCATAATACGTAAGCCTAGCATAACCTGCACTAGCACCCCATCCTAATCACCTACCTCCATACCGTGATTTGGCCAGTCTTAGTCGAGTCCATAGAGTACAGGCTGGCTCTCAAGCATGCCTGGCAAGCGAACATGCTATTTCGGCAACAGGTGATCCTCAACCCTAAACCCTAAATAAACCCTAAATCCTAAACATTCTATGTCGGGATGTCTCAAAATCGGGGTACCGAAGCCCCAGAGATATGCGGGGATCGTCAGGGGATTGTCGGGGTCCGCACTCCGGATAAGACCGAACTCCCATGTCAACTTGATGCTTCAAAACTGCTGGAGGTTTTCATATATTGGCACCAAAACCAACCAAAAATCCCTATATATCCGTGTATAGCCCCTGTAACCCCTTTAAGGGTAATGTGGCACCGCTTTAGTGTGTACGGCCCCCCC